TGATTAATATTAATCTTGTCCTGCATTCTTGGTATAATCTCTGACTAGTCCCCAGAATTGGAATCATTTTTTTTCAGATATACTACATAGATAATAATATTATCTGTGGACAAAGGCATATTTTTCTTTCCCAATATGTACATCTCTCGTTTATCTTATTTTACTGCATTAGCTAGTACTTTGAGTATGATCTTGAAAAGGTGTGTGTGTGTGTGTGTGTGTGTACATCCTTACTTTGTTCATGATTTCAGTGGGGATAGCTAAGTATTTTGAAATATTCCGCATTTTAAAAAATAACTATCACAAAGATGGCAGTAAGCCCTGAAATCAAAATTTGTGGTTTACTTTTAATACAGAGATCACCCAGCCATTCATTTACTCTGATTATATGTCTACTGTGTGCTGGGAAAGGTCCATTTCTGTGTCCTCACAGTGGCTATTTTTAAATTACTGGCCAAGTAGCACTATTATTTTATTATGATTATATTTTATTATGTGATATTTAGAATTTACAAAGATGTTTAAGAAAAAAATGAAAATCAGAATTATTTTATTATGTAGTAATTACTGTTAACATTTTTAGACATTTCTTTACAGTCTTTTGAAGCATATATTTTGAATTTTAAAATGCTAATTAACCATACCATATGAATTTCAAATCAGATATTTATTTGTTTATTAGTACTAGAAATGAAACTCAGGACCTGGTGCTCTTGCCAGGCAGACCCTGTGCCACTGAGCTATCTCCCTGGCCTCCTGCTTTTTAAATTAACACATGACAACCGAATTCTTATTTACTAGTTTCTTGTTAGTCATTTAATTTTTTTCTTTTCTGTCATAATATTGTATAATATTATGACACGTCAGATATAATCCCAGAACTACAAAATAACATCCATATGCCATAAGAGAGAAAAGCACATACATTTAAAATTTTTATTATTTTATTTGATAAACACTGAGTGTCAGGTTCAGTTTTACATAGTATAAAACTCATTTCAAAAGACTGTTTATAAACTCTCACTAGGAATATAAGTGTAGCTCCATTTCTCTAAATCTTGCTCTTTTTTTTTTTTTTTTTTTTTTGGTGGAGCCAGGGATTGAATTCAGGCCCTGTGCTTGCCAGGGAAGCATTTACTCTACTGAGACATCTCCCGGCCCCTAAATCTTGCTGTTAAATATTTTTTTGGTTAATATGATAAAAATGGGATCTTACTGTAATAGAAATTTATTTGGTTTTTGATGAAGTTCAATATTTTTGAGCTTATTAGCTGTTTGTATTTATTAGCTATTTGTATATGCTGTTCATGAATTACATTTTTAGGACCACTATTTTTTTCATTGGCATCTGTTTAAAGTTATCTGAATAATTTTTATGATGTAAAATACTGTATTGAATCTTTTTTCATTTACGTATTTGGTATAGGGTCTCATTACACAGCTCAGACTCATAGTGATTCTGCTGTTTTCAGCCTCCCCAGCACTGGGATTACAGTCATGCATCACCACACTGAGACTCGTTCACTGGCCCAGCACGCCTTGGGGACAGAGCCAGCGTGGCATGCAGTACCAGGGATTGAACCCTGGTCCCTGCGCTTATCAAAGCAGGTCTTAGTCATCTTGCCAGCCCTGTATTGATTCTTATTATGTTATAGTTGCTCAAAATTTTCTCTGAAATGTGTCACTTTTTAACTTTATAGTCACTTTTCTGGACCTATTGAAGTTTGAAATTTTTATGTAGCCAACTTAATCAGGCTGTATGTATTTCTTTTAACTTCGAATACATATATCTTCTGTAAAGTCTGATTTTTTTTAATATAACCAAATTAGTGTGTCCTAGCCTTAAGATTTGTAACATTGTTGTACCACATACATAAAATGAATATATGTGTGTGTTTATGTATATATTTAGAATTTTCACCTGAATATACAATTTTTATTTGCAAGTAGTCAGTTAATATATATATATATTTAATCTTTTATTTATTTATTTGGTACAGGGTCTCACTATGCAGCTTGGACTCATAGTGACCCTCCTGTCTCAGCCTCCTCAGCGCAGGGATTATTGGCGTGTGGCTGGTGTAGCGTGTCCAGGATTCTGGGGCCAGCAGTGCATGCAGTACTGGGGATTGAACCCAGGTCCTTGCTCTTGACAGGCAGGTGTTTAGACCATTGAGCTATCCACCCTTCCCCAGCCAGCTAATTTTTAAGGCAATTTTATATCCCACTTATTTAAACTAAGTGCTTGTGTATTGACAATCTTTCAGGAAAAGCCCTTAGGGGTTGGGAGATAGCTCGGTGGTTTAAACCGCCTGCCTGGCAAGCACAAGGACCCAGGTTTGCTTTTTCGGGTCCTCCTTTCCAAGATGATGAAAAAAGGAAAGAACAACGGTTGTGCCAAAAAGGGCCGTGGTCATGTGCAGCCTATTTGTTGCATGAACTGCGCCTGGTGCGTACCCAAGGATAAGGCTATTAAGAAGTTTGTCATTTGGAACATAGTGGAGGCCGCCGCCATCAGAGACATTTCCAAAGTGAGTGTCTTCGACGGTTATGTGCTTCCCAAGCTGTATGTGAAGCTGCATCATCGTGTGAGTTGTACCATTCATAGCAAAGTGGTCAGAAATTGATCGCATGAAGCCCGTAAGGACCGAACTCCACCCCGATTTAGACCTGCTGGTGTTGCCCCATGACCTCCACCAGAGCCCATGCAAGGGGAGCTGGGTCTTAATGGACTGAAGAAAACTCTCTTGAGAAAGAAATAATAAATTGAATGTTATACTTTATACAGCATGTTGAGTGTGCCTGCCAGAGGTGGGTTGCGTTAATTCAGCCTATCCAAGTTTAAGTTTGTACTCTGAAAATGAATAAAGAGGAACACACTGGAAGGGGTTTTAGGAGCATAAAAACAAAAACATAAGGACCCAGGTTTGATCCCTGGTATCACGTACCTTGCTGGCCCAGAAGCCTGAACACACTGTGCCAACCACTGAAACTAGATGTGGTGGCCCATGCCTATAATCCCAGCACTTGAGGAGGCTGAGACAGGAAGATCACTACTAGGCCAGCCTGCGTAGTAAAGCCCTGTACCAAACAAACAAATGATTTTTTAAAAATTAAAAGTCCTTAGTATAAAAAGATAGGGAGCATTAGAGCCTGAAAGAACAGTAGTGTGTCTAAGCTGTTAGAGGAAGCAACTATGAAGACTCATCAGAGAGGTGGAAAGGAACTTAGGGGTGCATTTCACAAAAGCCATGAGAATTTTCTAGGCAATACTATTCAACTATGTGTAAAGTCGAGGTAAGGGTCAATAAGATAAGGATTTAAAATGTTCATTGAATTTTACATTAAGAAACCATTGTTGACGTGGAAAACTAGTCCTGTAGGGGATTTGAATAATAGAATGGTGCCCCTCTAATTTATTCTTTTCTTCCCCCCCCTTTGACTCTTACCTTCTTTTTCCTTCCTCTCCTCCCTATTTCTTTCCTTTCTTCTCCTTTTCCTTTTCCCTTCTTGTTTTCTTCTCTCCCTATTTTTTTTTCTGCCTTCTGTTTTCTTCTCAGGGCCTGGACTTGTAGAGGGGAGAGAAGCTTAGACTTGAGAGAGAGATAGTAGTAGAACCCACAGCCTTGGAGAGGAAGACAGATAACAGTGTGCTAAGATATTTGGAGAGATTCAAAGCGTGGCTTTCCTTTAGCTGTTATTAGCTTTATAGCAGCCAGGATTGATTGATTTACCAACATGTCCATTCCCTTGTATATAGTCAGTGATCTATGACCGTTCGTTCAATGATGGAGCTAATTAAAGAGTTAATAAATAAAAGAGTTAACTCATCCCATCTTTAATCAGAAGTGTATCACACAAATTTAGATAGTTCTGGAACTTTAACATTTACTTTTGTTGTCTGACATTAAAAATTATGCCTACAATAAGGAAACATGCTCTCCTTGGGTTAAAGGTGTAGCTCAGGGGGCTGGGGAGATGGCTAAGTGGAATAAGCGCTTCCCTGGCAAGTGCAAGGGCCTGAGTTCAATCCCCAGTTCTGCAAAAAAAAAAAAAGTGTAGCTCAGGAGTTCATGCACACTTGACTTGCATGTGAGATGCCCCAGGTTGGATTTCTAACACTGAAAAACTTGGTCTAAATGCTCTTTAAAAAATTATTTTAGAATAAGTTCTATTTTATTATATTCTTTTTTAAATATCTTGTATACATTCTTAAAACTATTTTGTGTTTTAAATTTTGTCTGCTTGTCATCTTTTTTTTTTTTTTTTTGCGGAACCGGGGATTGAACTCAGGCCCTTGCGCTTGCCAGGCAAGCGCTTATTCTACTGAGCTATCTCCCTGGCCCCCACATTATCTTATTTGGAAAATTTCCATATATAAGAGATTTTATTTAATTTTATGTTAGCCGTAAAGAGCAGGGAGATAGCTCAGTGGAATATGTGCTTGCCTTGCAAGTGCAAGGTCCTGAGTTCGATCCCTGGTACCACCAAAAAAAAAAAAAAAAACCAAAAAACAAAAAACTATAAAGTGAAAACAACTTTTTAATATGAGATATTAACTAGACCATGACAATATGAGATGTGAACCATTGTGACTGATTTTTAAACTACCTGTCTGTTTTATAGCATGAACTTTTTCATTCCTTAGTGCTTAGTCTATGATAGTGTCCTGTGAGCCTTCCTATTTGTAGGGAAATTAATTTTCTTATGTTCCATTTAATACATTTAAGTTCTATTTTGAGATCAGGAAGATTTATAATTAAGTTAATGTATGCCACTTGTTTATTTTGGTAAGCCAATAAAGTTTCTGTATCAGGCTTTCAATTTGAAAAAATAAAAATATGAGCCTAAAAATTGTATTCTTAGGCAGCAAATATGACTGCCAACATTTTTCTTTGAGATTTATAAAAAATTTCTGTTTCATAGACATAATATGTGAAATATGAAATGAATTAGAAAATATATGCAATATTATCTAAAGTGCTTACTCATTTTTTTAGGTTGGGAAATGAAGAACATCAGCCAGAAGTTCCAATTCTTTATCATGATGTAACGTCTCTGTTGCTCATCCAGATCTTAATGATGCCACAACCCTTACGCAAAGGTATGGCTTTATAACTCAGGTACTTTATTAGGTACTGTATGTTATAACTAGCCTAGAGATTATAGGAACAGGTACAACATTCAGTTTGATGGGAATTTTTGTGTGAAAAATAGCATTTTTTAAGTATATGGTAATCATCCAAAAAAGGACAATGAAATAAAGGTACTTTTAAAAAAAGCTTTTCAACTTTTTAGTCTAATAACAAAGGGAATACAATTGAAAATTTTTGTGTTAAAAAGTTGAAGTGTTATTACAAATGAAAATTTGAACAGTAGAACAAACCTCTCCACCTCCTGAATGTTCTGCCACCCCCACCAAGGCCATACACTGGTCACTAAGCCTTTCATGTATGGGCCTTTAGAGCACATGCAAGATCCAAACCGCAGTGCTGCACTACGTTTATACAACTGCTGCTGCGTATCATGGTGTCCACCTGTAATCCCAGCACTCGAGACTGGGGCAGGAGAATCACCAGAAGTTTGAGGCCAGCCTAGGCTACTTAGTGAGTTGAAGGCCAACTCGAATTATAGCCAGCCCATGTCTTAAAAAAAGCAAAGCAAAACGAAACAAAGCATACTGTCACATTGTATATAATATATTGCTCATGTCGTTATAGTGATGAATTCTTCCAATTTAGGGCCAAGCCTTCCTCCCCAAATTGGCATTCTTTATTTTTGTTTTTTCCCTTTTACATATTGAATATTTGTTGAAGCCCTATATTTAAACTATATTAGGAAGTTATATTAAGTAATTTTAATTTTCCTCAGATAGCTTTTTGAAGTGTGGGAAATGATAAATAACAGAGATAGTATTGTTAACAGAAATTTTCACTTTGTACCTCAGTTGGCAAAACAATTAACAGTTGGTAGCCTTCATTGTGTCTATAGTATTTTATTTGTTTTTTGTCTTTGTTTTGCACTACTGAGGATTGTGTTTGTGTTTTTATTGTAGAAATATGTACTTGTATAATTGTAGTTACTGATGCTTAGAAAAGGAGAGAAAAGAAAGGAAGAATTTGTATTGTTTATATATTAGACTATTAAGTGGTTCCCACAGTTTTGTCTGGCAATAGGTTGACATAGAGACCTATCTGGATATCTTATATGCTTTTAAAGCAGTTTTTAGATTAAAAGATCCTTTTATATTGTTTCATCACACAATCAAGCTAAATGTATTAAACACAAATGTTTGTTTTTCTTTGATTTTTTTATGTCCTGAATCTTATCCATCATATGTAAAGTAAAAAGTAGAGTTTAATGAATGTCTGTGTCCTACTTACCAATTACCAGCTCATGACCAGCCTTGTCTTAGTTATGCCATAACCCAGTGGTGGCAAACCTATGGCAGGCATGCTACTTGTTCTTCTCTTAAGACAAAAGACATTAAGGTATGAATTATTTTTTAAACTGAAATCTCAGGGGCTGGGGATATGGCTCAGTGGAATAAGTGTTTCTCTGGCGAGTGCAAGGGCCTGAGTTCAATCCCTGGTTCTGCAAAAACAAACAAACAAACAAACAAACAAACAAACAAACAAACCAAAAAAACCCCCAAACCCTGAAATCTCAGCATTTAGGTTTGTTCACAGTGTTGGCTTTTTGAGATAAATAAGTGGGTTTTGGATTGCAGTTTAGGTAGCTGTCTCTAAAAGGTTTGCCATCGCTGTCCTGATTTATACTCTCCTCCCTTGATCCCTTAGTTATTTTTTTTTAGCAAATTCCAGACAGCATATCATCTTATCTATATATTCTTAAGCATGCATCTTTAAAATGTAAAGATCCTTTTTTTGAGGGCGATAATATCAGTGTGTCCCTTACTGTAATACATTTTTAAAAATTTAAACATATTATGATCACTATGTGTGTGCCAGTATTTCTTTCTGAGTAGCTTCATTATACCACATGTTCAAAAGGATCTTGATCCCTAAAAAGTTAATTATTTATATATTCTATAGAGAATTATTGGCCAGAAATGAATAGTGTTATAGTAAGGGATAGCAATAAGAAGGTTGCATTTGCAGCTGCACAATTAGCACATTATAGTGGGATGAGGAAGCATAGTGTTGGCCGGCTAATTAGTTTAGTGGATTAAAGCACCCGCAAGCAGGGTTCAATTCCCGGGCCTGCTGTGCCAGCCCCGCCCCCAGAGTGTGCTGAGATGGCAATTGAGAGCTGGGCATGGCACGTGCACCTGTAATCCTAGCTCTTGGAGGCTGTAAACAGGTGGATCACTACAAGTGATTGGGTATACTTCAGACCAATCTGATCTATTAGTGAGACCCTGAACACCCTGTAGACCCTTCCCTAAAATACAGGAAAAAAAATTAATGGGTAAAGTGCTTGTTTCGGCAGCACATATACTAAAATTGGAACGATACAGAGAAGGTTAGCATGGCCCCCGCGCCAGGATGACACGCAAATTTGTGAAACGTTCCATATTTTTTAAAAAAGTTAATGGGCAGAGAAAACAGAAACTTTATGTGAGAGTAACTCAAAGGGATTGCTTATTATGTTTAAGATAAGAGGGTTGTAAACTTGTTAATAGCCCTGCATTTTGCCGTTTCTCTACTCTTCACTTAATCACTTCTTGTGATCTGTTCTTGTGAGTGATCCTTCTCCTGGAAGCCTTTCTCTTAGATATCCTTTGTTCTCATTCCCATAATAATTTGCCCATTCTTCTGATACTTGTCTTTTTGACATAATATCACTCTATGTTGATACTCAGATCCTCCACAACAGCCCTTGTGCATAGTTCATCATATCCTCAGTAAACGTTTAAACATTTGCAGAATGGAATGGATGTTTTAAAAATTCAGTGGTCTTACTTTTTGTTAAGTTGCTTATTTTCCATTTTGAAATTCAAGAAAGCTATGGCTTTCATTTGAATCTTTAGATTTTATGTTGTGATCACTCCTGTATAATGTTCTTTGAGAATGTTTGTAGTTTGTAAGAACCAAACTTCAATGGTTTGAAGTGTACCCAATGGCACAGCAGTAACTACTTTGTTAGTTGTTAGATGGACTTGAGATCTTTTATTGGTTCTATTTTGACGAAAGCAAATAAAGTCTTGTTAAACTGTTCGGGTTCTTCACTCACTGAAGAGAAAATAGACTCCAGCTTATCACACAGAAAAGCAAATCACTAAGTAATTTTTGTTGTAGACTAGAATTCTTGGAGGGTCAGAAATTCCATAGTTAGAAATTCCAGGTCATAAAAAGGAAACAAAATTTGATGTTTACTTGTGGCATATGCAAAGTATTCTTGGTAACAGTGAAATAGTACATTTAAAAATTTTTTTTCACTGTAATTTTAGGAAAAGAATAAACCATCTGATAGCTGTTTCATGTACGCTTTTTTGTGTAGGGGTTTTATTGTTTTAACTCACACTCTATCTTGGCCTAGAAGAAATTTGCAAAATTTTTATTATTTAACTCTCAAGTAATTTTGGCAAAAAAACTTACAAAAGTATCCGAATCTTATGTCTTATTTTTCACTTCTACAAAGGATGTGCCTGTAGAAAAGTGAGTAAATAAATGTGTGATCTGTTAGTGAAATTAAAGCGGTAGCTTAATAACTGTTTCTCCAGGAGATTGGTCATTTCTTAGAAAATGCAACATGAGTCATAGAGTGAGTACTTGATAAATGTTCAGTTTTCTGATTTCTCAGCATGCCTTACTATTAAAGAAATTCTGGTTTACTCAGTTTTTGTTGGTGTGATTAGAGAGTCAAGTCCTTTTCCTAGATAATTTTAGTACCCTTTGAACTATTTATTCCATCTCTAGGCTTTTTGTCTTGATGGAAAAAAAAAAAAGAAAAAGGAAATGTGGACAAAAAGTTACACTTAATTTTTACTGAAATATTTAATTTCATGAATTACGGCATTCAAATTTTCCATGTGAGTTGCACATAAATAATAAAATAACATGTACTGAGTTAGATATAGTACCATGTAATAGCTTAGTTCCTCATAGCACTTGAAATTAGTAAGTCAAGAATGTAAATTCTGTTTATTTATTTGTGGTACTAGAGATCAAACTTGGGGCCTTGTGTTTGTCAGATAGGTGCTTATGCCACTGAGCTATCACACCAGCATAAATTATATATAATCCCAGGGGAAAGTTTACTCTTTAAGGCCCAGACTCATATTTCCAAACCTTGTCATTGAATACAGTCTGTCTCTAAGATATTCCAAGTAGATTTTGTTCAAATTCTTATGTTTTGCTCATGATTTTTTGTTTTAACACACTGAGACTAGATATCTTTTTCTTCCTTTGTGAAGATGTTGATAATTGTGATTGAAATGTTTTGCTTTCTTTACCTAATGTACACTTTAACTTCATGTGAGTGATTACTTTAAGGTTCCCCAAAGACACTTATTTCACACATAGAAAGTATTCAGCAAACACACAAATATTTATCTATGCATTCATTCTTTTGTTTATTCATTTATTTTTTTGAGATAGGGTGTCTCTGAGTAATTCAGGCTGTCCTTGGACTTATAGAGACTTTCCTGTCTTAGCCTCTCTAGTGTTGGAGTTACAAGCATATGTGATCATTCCTGGAATGATCGATCGATCGATCGATCGATCGATCTATCTATCTATCTGTTATTCTAGTTAATTAGTACATAATGTTATATTTCTTGTGGGAAGTTGGTATATATACATGGAACATCTTAATTCCTTTTTTAAAATCTTTTTTTCCTTTTCCTCCTTCTCCCCTTCTACCCATTCTTTTATCTCCTTTTTGGGGGTACATGTTGCAATACATAATGTTTCTATTCCTTCTGTGGCGTTACTACAGGTATGTAATACGGTAAATTTTAAAGGATGAGTGAATGTGAGTTCAAGGTTAGGCTGTTTTGACTTCCAACTTCAGTGTTCAAAAGTGATAACAAAGGGCCTGCCAAATAGTTTAATCAGTGGATTAAACTGCCTGCAAGCAGGGGCCCCGGGTTTGATCCCTGGGCCTGCAGAGCTGGCCCCGCCCTGCAGTGCACTGAGATGGCAATTGAGACTGGGTGTGGTGTATGCCTGTAATCCCAGCTCTTGGGACACTGTAAACAGGCAGATCACTATGAGTCTGATCTAGTAGTGAGATCCTGAACACCCTGTAGACCCTTCCCTAAAATTAAAAAAAAAAAAAAAAAAAAATGCCAACAAAGTCAAAGTGATTAAAAATGGAAATTAGTGGTTTTCCATAACAAATAGCTATAATTCTGATTATAATAACTATTGATTTTTTTAGTGTATTCCTTTTTTTTTTTGAGACAGAGTCTCTTTATGGGATTCAGGCTAGCCTTAAACTCACTAGGTAGCCTGAACTGGCCTCAAATTTGTGGTGATTCTTCTGTATCAGCTTCCTGAGTGCTGAGATTACAGGTGTGTGCTACCACGCCTGGCTTAGTGTATTACTTTTTAATAAGAAGTATGGTTTACAAAATGAGAAGAAGCCATATCTTAGTGTGGTTTCTAGGCAAAATAAATGAAGGGAACCTTGATATTTCAGCAATGTGGATGAACTGGAGGACATTATGCTAAATGAATTAAGCCACTTCCAGAGCAAGAGTTTACCTTAATATCCTCCGGGACTTAGTTCCAGTACAATTCCCTACATCCCAAGAAGATACCAGAATTTGAAAAGCTCATGTCCCTTATAGGAAGTACTCATATAATACCTAGTGCAGTTTAAATTCTGTGTAAATAGTTGTACTGTATTGTTTAGGAAGTAATGAGAAGAACAAGTTTGTACATGTGGGACACAAGTTTTCTTCTGAGATATTTTTTCTTTGCAGGTAATTGATTCCACAGATTGGAAACTTGTAGATACATGAGGCCAGGTGTAGTGCAGTATGGGATCTAAGAGTGCAACTCGGAAAAGAGAGTAGAACAGTGTTTACAGGGATAAAGAGAAGAGGCGGTGCTGAGATACTGGTGGTCAAAGGCACAACTTTTCAGTATAAGATGAATGAGTTATGGATTGTTCTTATCTTATATGAAGTATATATACTTTTTAATAATGCAGTGTTGTATCTTTGGAATTGTTTGAGAGTTGATCTTAAGCATTCTCACTACATACACAAAGGTAATTATGTGAAGTGGTGGATATGGTAATTAGCTTGATTGTTGCAACCATGTATAATATATACTTATATTAAACAATCAGGTATACTTTCAATATATATAATTTTTGTCAGTTATACCTTAGGAAATGCAAAGGTAGGAGATTAGTCTGGCTATAATAAAGAATGTAGATTGCAGGGGACTAAAAGGTGCTACAAATATCTGACTGCAGAAAAGAATTAACAAGTTTACAAAGTTAGGCCTCATCAGGCTTTAGGGAACTTGGATTTTGGAAGGAAATCTACCATTTTCAAAACTAGTGAGAATCACTATCGTAATGTTTTTGTTCAAATAATATACTTTGTACTGAGCATCATTTTTTTCTACCTGGAAATCTGGAATTTGTATGTGCTGGACAAGAGGGTGCTAAAAATCCTGCCCCCAGTGCACATGTCGGGCACTGACCCCGTGAGGGATCTCTCCAGTGAGATTCCTGGTGTGCATTTCATGTGTGATGCTATTAGGAGAGTGGACTCCGAAAATTTCTTCTGGACTTCACCCAATGTGCCTTTTCCCTTTGCTGATTTTAACTTGTATCTTTGCTATTATAAGTCATGGTTGTTAATATGGCTTTATGTGGAGTCTTATGAGTTTGTAATGAATCATCAAACCTGAAAGTGGTCATGGAGTCCCAACAAAACCAAGTAGGCTGGGATTATAATTCTAGGCAAGAAAAGTTGGAAGTAGTCTGATCCAGGTAGTAGGGACTGCTGTGAGAAATACTTAAAAAGTGGAATTGACAGAACTTGGTGATTATTTTCATGTGGGAAAAAGAGACAAGTATATCAAGGATATCTACAAATTTCTCACTCTCGCAACTGATTAAATGGAAATTACCCATTTCCTGAGTGAGCAGCATAATATAATAGGAATATTAAATTTGAAGAAAAATTACATGGATTGAAGTTTAGAATCCTGAATACTTACTAGCTTTGATATCATAAGCACATCTTTCTAAAACTCAGTTGTCCAATTGAGACTGTTTTGAGGACAGACATTTGAGAGAATTTTTTTATGTTATTAAGTAAATATAAATGTTAATTATGGTCATTAAAGTATCATTAAGTGCTTAGTATGTTTAAGAAGGGGCTGTTTAGTATGTTTAAGAAGGGGCCAGCCACTTTTATGTTTATTATTATTTTGTGTTGCTGTAGGTTTTTAAAAAAATATATTTGGTACCGGGTCTCACTACACAGCTTGTACTCATAGTGATCCTCCTGTTTTCAGCCTCCCCAGTGCTAGGATTACAGGCATGTGCCACTATGCCAGGTCTTGGTGGCTGGCACAGTGTGTCCAGGGGCGGGGCCAGCAATTCATGTGGTACCTGTGATTGAACCCCTGTTCCTCCACTTGCCTAAGCAGGTGCCTGAGCTACTTGCTGGCCCTGCTGTAGTTTTCATTGATTTTTTTTTTTTTGTAAGATCTATATTTTGATTCATAGTATATTAGATCTTTTCTTACAGTAGAGGTTGGTTAAAGAAAAAAAAAAAAAACTCCCAAACATTGTTAACCTGCAACCAATGAAGGTATTTGTTAAGGTTTCACAGAGGCTTGAACTCTCCAGTCTTTTCTTAAAAAGCCGACTTTCCACTTTGCTAAGTGCTTTTAATTGCCATTCTGTGAATGTGTAGAAGAATTTTGCTTTCATAATTTCAGATCTGTCAGGGAGCAAATATAACATAATTTCAGTTTATTAACTAAGTATTGAACAAAACCAAATTACATGTGCAAGGAAAGGCATATGTTTCTGAAGTTATCTTGTGTACAATATACCTGTATTCCAAATATAGGTATGATGAGAAATAATGATGTTCTCTTTCTCCTGTAGAACACTTTACCTGCATTGTGAAGGTACTTTTCACCCTACTGTATACACAGGCTCTTGCAGCACTTTCAGTTAAATGCAGTGAGGAAGATAGGTCAGCCTGGAAACATGTGGGAGCTCTCAAAAAGGTTAGTCTCTTTTTTGAGTTTGTCATTTAGTAGTTTTGGGAACTCATTTAAATTGAGGATATGAATGAATGAGATGTTTGAAAGATAAAGTGAGTTAATGGTATTTGAATTGGAAATTGAATACCTTCAGGCTAAAAAATTAAACATATTTCCTTGCACAATGAGGCCTTCTGTATCTGTCTTTAAGAATTTGGCATTTATCTCTTTACGTTTGAGCAATTAGTTTCACTACAAGCCTTATACTTTGAGAAGTTATAAAAATTGTGTCATTTCAGTGAGCATCATGATAAATGTCTGTAGGCTTAGTTATTTCATTTATCAGTCTTTTTTTTTTCTCCTTTTTTCTCTATCCCTAATCACCATCTAAAGATGGCTTTGTGACTCATTACTTTTTTTTTTTTTTTTTGTACTGGAGATTGAACCCAGGACCCTGTTCATGCTGGGCACACGCTCTAACACTAAGCTCACACCACTTCTACATTTTAGCTATTTCTTAATTGTGCCTCTCTTAAGTGATCTTTTTTCATATTAGAAAACACATGTGCACACAGTATTAGTGAATAATAATACAATACATATTTACATATTGCTATTAATCCCCTTTAAAATCTTCCCTTTCACTCTGAACATACTCCATTTTTCTTGCACCTTTCTGAGAGAGTTGTGAAAGTCCTCATTCTTGAGTATCTTTAGTTGTGCTGTCATGGCTGCCTCAGTGCCTTGAATGGATTTGAAGCATTTATGTTTCGTGTTCATTCTAACTGTGGAAGAGCCACAAGTCACACTCTGCCAGATCCAACAAATGAAGTAGGTGAAGACACACCAAAACATGTTAATGAGCCTGCCTTCTGTTGAGTAGCACTTTCACCAGCAGTCACTGTATGCTTTATCACATCTCATAAAAGCACTCATGAAACAGAACGTTGAGAACTGCTTCCAGAAAGTAAGAATCATGGATGTGTTTCAAGCAAAGAGGAGTAGTATGAGGGAGTTAATGCCAGTGTGTTAATTTACTGTAACATTTTTATAAAGTAAACATTAACCATATATTTTGATCACCCATGTGTACGTGTGTATGAATTCTCAGCAAATTCAAAGGAATTTTCTTTAAATTATATAAACAATTTAGAAAAACTGAAAATTTAGTTAAATATTTTTAATGACTTGAATACAAATGAAATACTCTAGTATCAAAGAAATAAATGTCTGGTATGAGTTGGTTTGAGTTAGGGTTACATAAAAATTATTTAAGTGTTTTTCTGACAAGTTGGTAGGCAAAATACTTAGTGTAAATTAGATATTTTAATACTTTCAGAGTCAGTTTAGATAGGGTTTTTGTAAAATCTACTTACATCAAGGCAAAGAGAACCCTGTCTTCGTCAATATTTTTTTCTTTTCTTAGCAAATTCTTGGGTAATTTTGCCTTCTGTAGTTATCTTTATTTTTTTTCTGTATTTTTTTCTGAAAGCAATCTAATCTGATGTTTGTAATAATATTCAAACAGAATTCTAATCAAATATATTAAATTTTTATTATATTGTTTAAATGTTTCCTCAATATGCTATTTGATCATAAAAAATTATACACCTAAAACTTACCAATATAGTTTGAATCTAAATACATTCATTTAAGAATTTGCTAAAATGAGAACTTAATGATAGAATTAAACAATTGTATATCTGTGATGGAAGGAGCATGTTTTTATTTAACTTAGGTAACTGTTATCTCAGTTTTTCTCAGTCATAATTGATAGCTGGTTTTAAAAATACTTTTTTCTTCTTTAATGTATTTGGTACATTAAAGAAGGTCTTGCTACACAGCTTGGACTCATAGTCATTCCTTCTATTTTCAGCCTCCCTGGTGCTGGGATTACAAGCATGTGCCACCAGGTCCACAGTGGCCAGCTTGTCGTGGCATGTGGTGCCACGGATCGAATCCTGGTCTCTGCACTTGCCTAAACAGGTGCTTAGTCTGCTGAGCTATCTTATTGGCCCCTAAAAGTTCTTAATAGAATACTATTAACCATGTTCTTATCAGAACATAAATTAGAACTATATTAACTATATTAGCTTACAGTTATATAGTGAATGCAAACAAAAAATTATGGTTGGTTTACCATAATTTTATTAGCTTTTTCTACATTTAGATATGTAACAGTAAATAATAGCAATGAGATATTTATGATAAATGAAATGTATCATTGTGACTTCTATAAGTACTTAGATTTTTGCATAGTTTCTTTTTTTCCTTCTATTTTCTTCATTTAGTTCTTTACTTTAAGAAAAGAATCCCCTTTCCTTTTTTTTCTACCTGCAAGTTTGTGTATCTAATTTATTTCACTTAAAAATATGATCTCAGGTACAATCATTTTCCACAAATCACTCTTTTATTTCTTCTTTATGGCAGAGCAATACTCTATTGTATATGAATGCATTTTCTTTGCCCATTCTCTGTTGATGGACATATAGACCAAGAAGCACTGTAATTCAGGCATTGCATTTTATTCAACACACACCCTCTTATATCTTTTAAGTTCTCAATCCTTTTGTTTATTTAATCCACTTTTGCTATCTTTGCCTTAGGATTCTTCTGATCTTGATTCTAGATCTTTTATCCATATTTGTGGGATTTTTTCCCTTAGTCTTCAAGAGCCTGCTCTTTCACTTATCCATAGGTTAAATGTCTATATAAAATACGATCTCTTAAAGAGTTCTGTGTATGTAGTCATCCCCCCAATTCCTACCCACTACTGCTTTGATGAGGAGAGTTCTCAAAAGAGGATAGGGATCATAGCCCTATATTTGACTTTTTGTTATGATATAGAACTTGTATGTGCAATAAATGCTTGAAACATATTTGATAATGGATTTTGTAGCTTACATGAGTGATCTAAATACACAGTCATAGTTTTTGAAGTACTTTCATGTTGCTATATTCTATAAATCCTTAACTCAAACAAATATTCTAAATTTAGAAAGCTTTTAGACTAGATTGTATATTTAGAGAGTCTTAAATTTGTAACATTTATTAGTAGCAAACCCATGGTTATATTTTCTTTCGATTTTTTTTTTTTTTTTACATTTTGAATTTAACAAATTTTTCTTAAATATTTAAATAATTTGATTAAATCAAGTTTTTAAAGATATA